TAGAGCATATTCCCAGGCAATACTTTTATGAGATACATGTAGCAATGAACCACACAGGTAGAAGATTGAACAAGAGATGGTTCTGCTGAGATATGGGAGTTTTTCAGTGTGATGTAAGCTCGCTGTGTGGTTTATAGGTTCCTTAATGGTAAAGGTTTTCGCCTGAAGATAGTTAGCATATAGCAAGGTATTCATGATTTTAGTTTCCCTTTTATTGGTGGTTTTCAGATTCTAGAATGTGAGAATGTCATACTCCCAGATGGGGGCTAGAGACAGATTTTCCTATTGGTCACATTGTACTTTGTTATGAAATATCTAAAAAACAAATTCACAAATGTTGAACCTGATATTTTCAATTACTGACTACAAACTGCCCATCTGTATCAAATAATATTGTCCTATAGAGTGCTGTGATGTCATTTGAAACCCAGCAATAGGCACCACATTGAGGACCTGTTACTATATCAGATTTTGTGTCAAAAGCATCGAAAATCAGATACTAATTGATACTAAAACTAATTTGAGCAAGTATATTAAAAAACACATTTTAGGACAGAAATGAACATTTCCTGAAAATCTTTAGAATGATCTTGAGCTGTATCAGAACAAGTATAAGAGAACATAGACTAGTTTACACCCATGAACCACTATGGAAACTACCTGAACCACTGAGGAATTACTCAGATATAAGACCACATGGTAATATTAAAGAAAGTACTATGATTTAAGGTTGAAAACTGTATTCTATTGTCTAAATAAAGAGTGTTTTTTTATTGTGGTATCATCATCAGTATTGAGTATCAAGCTATTCCTTAGTATCAAAATCCAGAGTGAAATTTGAGTATTGTGATAACAGTCTGCTATATAATCTTTACCTTGACCTAAATACGAAAAATTACTGCCCAGACTTGAGCTACAGGGTAAAAACATAGGCCTTATCTTGTATACCTGAAACCATTCACCCGCATACGTTCCAATGGCAGTGAAGTCATTAATCACTTTTAATTGGCTATGACAGCTGTCTCAGCTTCACAATAACAAAGCCCGGTTGATGTTATCTGTTCCTTCACAAGCTAAATTATGTCTGTTAACCCTTAATCATTTTGCTATAATAAAATATTTACATTTAAAACATAGCATTTCTAGCCCCCTTGTGGCTAGTTGGGGAAAGGCATAAATGCAATTTTAACAATGATGGTATACACTGTATAGACATGGACATAGCTAACCTTTTAGCCACCACTAGGAAGTGAACATGGGGCGCTTCCAGCTCCATTGACTCTAGCTCCAGTTTATGTTACATTGAAAGACGTCGCCCCTCTCTTTGTAACTGCTGTTGTGAGCCTTGTCATTTTGGTCTTAAAGTGTTTGTATTAACCTTCTCTAAATTCTTATTCCTAATAAGAAACTCAGCTCCAAATTCACTCCTATAACTGCTAGCCTCGTGAGATTCATTTCACTAGAGTCAAACACTATGAGTGACGTCATACTCCCTTAGTCCACTTCTTTATACAGTCAATGAATGCAAGTCAGTAGAATAAGGTAATATTTATGGAAAAAACAATACAAAATTCCAACACCATAGATGTTAATTTAATGCAACACTGTGTAACTTTCTGGTCATCTGCACAAATAAAAAGTTAAAGCCATACTTCGGAACACTTGCCATGGAGAAAGAGTGAAGCCACAGAGGCACCCACTCCTACCCTCCTGCCTGAAGTTGAATACCTGTGGATCTTGGTGGAACATGCCCACTGCCTGCAGGTGCAACAGGGCTACATGGGACATTCCTTTACACTTTGCTCTTTCACACACAACACTTTTACCTTTGACCTCTGACCTCATCACTGCCAAAAATGAAATATGCGTGATCTAAAATGAGACACATTTGCAATATTTTAATTTAATAGGTCTTAGTGTTGTTACGATAGTAAAATTTAAACTAATTTTCAATAATTAGGAATAGACTAAGTACTCAATATTGATTCTGATGCCACAATAATTCATTCAATTACTTTTTCTTATATTACAATGTGGTTTTATATCTGTGTAATCCCTCAATTGTCCAGGTAGGTTCCATAATGGTCAAATGGTTTCTACAAGTCTATGTGGTCTTAAACTTGTTCTAGTACTGCTCAAGATCATTCTAAAGCTATTCAGAAAAGGTTCATTTCTGTCCTATGATTGTGACTTTTCTGTAGTACTGACACTTGTCCAAATGAGTACCTAGTTTCAATATTAGTTTTAGTATCAATTAGTATCTAACTGGTATCTGGTTTCTCTTGCTTTTTCCCTGTCTTGACTTGTTGCCAAACCCCACTTGTCCTCCGTGCTTCGAGGAGAGGTGTGATCCAAATGCAAAATGTGTTGAAGATCATGTTTGAGGTAGCAGGCGAATGGAGGGTGGGTTTGTGTGTGGAGAGGAACACAGCTGTTAGCAAAGAGAAAACATCGCATAGAGGTGAGGGGGAGAGGGAGAGAGAGAGAGAGAGAGAGAGAGAGGGAGAGAAAGAAAGAGGGGACAGAGAAAGTGGGGCACTACGTAGAGGTTACTGTGGCAAGTTCAGGACATATGTGATGCGTATATAGAAAGCCCAAAGAAAATGTGGTTTGAAATGTTAATCTTTTCAGTACGGCTGCAAAAATGAATCAGCTAATCATATTTTGACATCTATTTTTGATACTGATCGATACTAAAACTAGGATCGAAACTAGATCATCACATCAGCTAGTCTCCATTCTAAAAAAGTCACACAAGTGAACCTTTCCAAAATAGTTTTAGAATGATCTTGAGCTGTATCAGACTAAGTATAAGACCACACAGACTACTATTTGCCCATAAACCACTATGGAACCCACTTAGACGACTGAGGGATTACACAGATAAGACCACATGGTAATATAAAAGAAATTTTTTTATTGAGTCAAGTATCGAGTCTATTCCTTCATTTCTTCATTTCAAAATTGAGTTTGAAATTTTAGTAACGTGACAACACCTCTTATTATACCCTATTGTTTTTACATTGGTCATTACAAATAAATGCACTTTACTTGATTGAGTTAACCAGTAGTTCTGACCAGTATCTCTAGGACCACCCAATGAACCAATCTGTCACTTGTCGCTTTACATATCCATCCACTGACCCCCTCTAGTCACTGTGATACAACTGACAACAGACTAAAAGAGGACCAGGGGGGTGGAGAACTCAATTCAAAGTCAATGCACCTCAATCAGTTAAACCCTGGGAGCTCAGATTGGATTTAATGTCTCTATATCATTAATGGGATGAGAGACTTCCTGACCTAGAAAGGACTTTTAAAAACATGTTCATGCAGATCAGTAAACACTTAAGTCGCTCACATCTTAAGCTGCAAATAGTTCTTTTTCTCATTGTAATTAGGAGATGACCCAGTGCACTTTGCTGGTCAAGACCTCAGAGAAATGACAGTGCAACAAGTCTGGCCATTATACCATTGACAAGTAAGGACAAGTATGAACAAAGCTACGGGTTAAAACAATACAACTTATAATATTAAAGGTGCACTGCATAACATTTCTAGGGGAGGGTCCGCCTCCTGCTTATCTCCATGGAAATGTTACTGTTTTGTCTAAAATGTTCCACAGTATAGAAACCTATATATAACACCAGGGAAACAAGAAGAAGGAATTAATGCGTTTTAGAGCAACAGAAACAAACATAATGAATAATTACTAGATGGATATTTTTAATGTCATACCATGGAACATTCCAGGCAAAACAATAACATCTCCATGGAGACAAATAGGTAGCGGACCCGCAGTTGCGCGGGGCACCTTTAATAAAAATTTTGATTAAGATTTTTAATACATGGGCTGTTTTGTTATATCTCTTGGATGGAGCATAAAAAAGCAACAATTACAGACTGATATTACAGAAAATTGATTCTTCTGAGATCTTGTTAGAATGTTGTTACCTCCTCAAAACATACCTGGAGTTGTGTTCTGTTTCATTCACACGTGTTTGAGTAATCCTTTATCATTACTCTGTCTACATCATGAAAGCTCAAAATGCTCGGTTCCACCTTGTGAAGTCACAAACCAACAGTTTTCAAGTTAACAGCTAACTTTTACATTTTGTTTAGTACAGATTGGCAATCCAGGGTTGAATATGCAGGGTTTTTGTGTTTAACATGTGTGAATGAAACAAAACATAACTCCAAGTATGTTTTTGATGGGGAAACAACATTATAACATAGTGGCATAATATGGACCCTTTCCTTATGGTTATACTTAACTCAGCATAGAGACATAATGCAAATACACAATACAAAAAATAAATAAATTGTATGTGCAGCATGTAAAAAATAATTGGTCTAAAACATCTTATGGTGCATTATGTGAGCTGTACATAACTATGCCTTTTGATTTGCTAAACTACAATCATATGTTATGCCTAATGCATTTTTTATTTTTTTTTACATTTAATTGTACCAAGACTTTAGTTAATCCCATATGTTTCCTGTTTGAGCTCCAGATGAGAGCGTAGCCTAAGCGTGCAGTTAATATTCCTTGTTCCTCTTTACATATTCAGGAGCTGGGTGGGCTTTGCATATCTAATACCAGTGAGAAGCGGGCCCACTCAAAAAAATGAACGACATCCCCTACCTGCCCCTCCAGCGACACTAAAACACATCTACTGCTAAGCAAGCACAAACAGTTACTTAAAACTCCTATGGCATAACTTTGTTTTTAACAGTTTTAAAACAAATCTTAAAAGTAAATAGGAACACGTCCACATAGTTAAACATAATGGTTACTGATGCGTATGGGTATGGCAATCACGTTATAGCAATACAGTACAAAGTGGTTTCATGCACAGGCGAGGTAACTTTACGCACGAATATATGTCATTACAAAATCCCCAAAACATGCCACAAATAAGACATTTTGTGCGTAGACGTGAATTAAATGTCGAGGTTTATAGCTTAAAAGCATATAAGAGTAAACAGAGAGAACTTACCCCTTGCGCATAGGTGGACGCGACCAGGAATACGACCACGCAGGCTCTGTCAAAGAAATAAAAAAAAAGCTGCTAGTCCGATTACAAGTCCGTCACGGGTATACAGCCTGGACCAGGTAAAGTGCACCGGGATAGACACACGCTGAGGTTTAGCTAAAGGCTGTGCGCGCAGTTTGCTAAGTGTATAACTGTTCAAAACCGGAGCGAAATAAAGTTTAAATTAACTTACAGGACTTTCATGTTTCTCGGTCAGACGGGGGACCGCAAAACCACACTTGATACCCCGTGTCTTCAGCACCGAGTCTCCGCTTCTCTCGCACTCATCGACGGCACCAAATTCGTTCTCATCTGGGAGGAACACAAGTGTAAAACGAGCGCACGGAAAGCAACAAGTTACATTTCTGACAGTGGAGAGTTGAGGAAATGAGATTTGAGTCATAGAAATCAGAGCGTATCCAAAACTCACCAAAACTTGCAGCCGTGGATTCGCTGCTGCTGTGTTCTCGGGCTGTTGGTGAAGCGCTTCGACTCAGCAGCGCCTGCACAGAGCCAGGGGGTGGGGCTTACGCGCATGTCACTCAAACCGAGCCATTTAGGACCAGCGCGGAAAGGCACGAAGCATCAAAACCGCTCATTCTGCAACAGAGAAGCGCTGGAGACGCATCTGCAAAGAAAGTTCATACTTTGAAGAGAAAGTTGCTCAAGCAGCCTAACACAAAATACTTGCAACTTAAAATGAATCGCTGATTGAATAAATGAAGTCCTGGTACAGACATACAAGTAATTGCCCATTTTCAAGCCCCAACTCAAATTATCAGGTGGGTATAGCAGCCAAAATTGTACTCACATACTAGTAATGTTACTATAGAATACCATTACTTAAGCACAAGTACAAAGTATTGGTCCAAGAAATTACTCAACTATTTGGGGAAAATGCAACTCATCTATTCAACAGTAACTGTTGGTACGTAACATCTGATTAAAACTTTAAATGACGCACAAAATCTGGAATAAGGACACAGAAATTAGAAATACTAAATCATATCTGAAGGAGCGGTGCAAGAAACACAATTGTTCAAATCATTTCATATTGTCAACATAAAGCTTTGGTCACTTTAGACTTACTCACAATGGGAAGAGGAACCACAACTTTTACTCAAGTAAGATGGGTCCACTGTAGAGCAATACTGTTTCAGTGAAAAGTTATAGTTCCAGTTATACAGAAATAGCATATAGTCAAACATTTGAGATGAGCAAGAGACAGAATCACTAACTCAAAATGTGTGTATTATATTAAAAAAGCATTTGTCAAGACCACCATATTTTACCACATTTTAAATTCAATAATAATTTTATATCTTGATGTAGCAACCACTCAAAACATTGATTAACTACTTTTTGAACTTTTATATGTTCTCTCAACAACTCACCCAAACTTGAATGATAGTAACATTGTTCCCGTTTTTACATACAGTCATAATATCAACATATCCAAAGCACACACAGACTAAACACTGAATTTTGGTTTTAAAGTGAAATTGCATCCAGACATAACAAAAATGAAATTCTTTAAATGTTTTGTGCGACCCCACCTTGATTGCTACATCATATATCAGATTATGCAAAGTCAAAGTTGACATTGGAAACAGTCTAACTAACAGATTGTGTGTTGATTCTATTTTAGACCTAACTGAGTGTCTGTGCTGTTAGTCACAACAGGTTAATTTAGCTTTAGATTAGTGTTTCAAACTCTATTTCAATACTGCAGAAAAGACTTGATACTAAATACTGATTCCAACATAGTGATAATAAAAAACACACTTCTTTAGATAAATTTAGCTGTCCATTGGAATTAAATGTTCGGAACAACTTCGGCCAAGACATGGGGAAGTGCATTGACACTTCTCCAGGTTTGAGCCCTGTTTAGTCCTTATGTAGATTGGTTCTGGTCCTGTTCCATAGTTTAGAATTAGATTCCATAGTGGTCCAAAGGCATATACTAGTCTATGTGGACTTACACTTGTTCTGATACAGTGCAAAATTGTTGGCTTTAAGCATGGTCATGGCACTGACACATGTATCTTTGCACTGAAGAAGATGTTGGATAAATATAATTCCCAGGGGTCCACTATATTCATGTGTTTTTTAGATGCTTCTAAAGCATTTGATCGGATTAATCATGGGAAACTATTCAGCAAATTAACAAACCGAGGTGTTCCAGGGTACCTCATTAGAATACTTATCTTCTGGTATACCTGTCAGTCCATGCAGGTGAAATGGGGTGATTCTACTTCTGACTCTTTTAGGGTCAGTAATGGAGTTCGCCAGGGTGGAATCCTGTCTCCCCTTCTGTTTAATATCTATGTTGATGACCTGTCTGTGCAGCTGAATGAATGTAAAATGGGATGTTTTGCTGGTGATTATCTGTATAATCATTTAATGTATGCAGATGACCTAGTACTGCTGTGTCCTTACAGTGCAGGTCTGCAGCAGCTTTTAAATATCTGTTCTCAGTATGGCTTTGAATATGACATTAAGTACAATGCTCGGAAAAGTCACGCAATGATTGTTAAAACAAAAGAGGACAAAAAGTTGTCCTTTCCTGTTTTCTCTCTGTGCGGGAGTGCCCTCCAACTCACAGATGAGATAAAATATCTTGACCATTATGTCACCAGTGACCTCTCAGATGATAGAGACATGTACAGGCAGCAGTGTAAGATTTATGGCCAGGCCAATATGCTTGTCCGTAAGTTCTCTATGTGCTCCAGTGATGTCAAAATTGCACTTTTTAAATGTTTTTGCTCACCTTTGTATACTGCGCATCTTTGGCGTAACTATAAGAAAAAGAGTTTGCAGAGTTTGACAGTGGCGTATAACGACTCTTTGAGAATATTACTGAAAGTGCCAAGGTTTTGTAGCGCCAGTGAAATGTTTGTAAATTGTGATGTGAGACCCTGTGCTGTCATAATCAGGTGTTGTATTTATTCATTTATGTGTAGAGCTGTGAATCTGAGTAATCAAATCATTGAAGCTCTAGTGTGTCCTGTGAGGAGCTCTGTCAGATTCACCTCTAAGCTGTGGAGACACTGGCGCTCTTGTCTGTATACGTTATAACATGCACTGTATTTAACTTTTTATTCTTACTATTGTTTTTTTTTTTTTTTTTATACTATGAACCAGATATCATGTGTTCTTAATAAAGATTGAATTGAATTGAAATACAATATTTTTTTAGTAAGATGCGATCAATATAAGGCACATTGGCATAAATTTACATAAAATCTTAATTACTATGGCAACAGTGCTAGATTTCACTCTGCAACCCATGGATACATTACAGATACTTTTTTTAAATAGTCAAGAAATATATCCAACAATATATACTGTATATATAAATTCATCAATGTCTAATTGCATATTTGATCACCCATATATAACTTGAATCTAATAATATGCCGTTCTAATTGTCCACGATGTAAATTAACCACCATTAATATTATCTTGTCTAAATTTCAGTATTTTCTATGCACCTGGTCAAACTCTTCCACTATCTCCATTGCCAGCAGCGCCATCCTTGTGTCAGGAGTCAAGAGTCAGAAAGGTAGAATTTGACCTTTTAAATACAGTGGCAGGAATGCGACTTGCCCGGGCTCATAGAAAATGCGAAATAAAATGGTATATGTCAAGACTTTTTTGTGAAGCCGCGGGCGTTGGGTTGGCTTGGTAATGCATGCAGCGGGAAGTCTGAGTATCCCTCCGCGCGTTTAGGGACTCTATTACAATAAAGCAAAATTAGGCGTGATTTTAAATGCAAGAGTGGACTATTTAATGAGAGAGCTAATTAAAATAAGTTGTCTAAGAGTTGGAGTTTGCACTGATTTGCGTTGTGGATAGTTTGGGGAAAGTTGCGTGTATCCTTGCGCGCAGTGTCAGGAGGGAAGTAGTTCTGGGCAGGTTTTGGAAGTTGAGAGGAGGCGGACTACAGAGGCGTTGGGTGCCAGGACCATTAGGAGCCTCCGCCAGCTCAACAAACCAGCGACGCGCAGCCCTTTTAGCGAGCAAGTAGCAGTTGTACCTTATCGCGTCTTTTGCACCCAACGCGAATGGTACACGGGGGGAGAGAGAGGGCTATGTCACGTTTTTAGGTATCCTCAGGTTGAATTTTACGCAGGAGGATCGCAGTTTCTTTTATAGGTGAAGAAGAGGAAAAGTGCCCCCCAGAGCAAGATGAGAAGCCAGAGCGGGCTGCCTCGGCTCGCCGCGGCTGTGGTCTTCGTCGCCTTGTGCGTAGCGGTGCAGCAGTCAGAATCTGCGGTAAGTGGGGCTTTTGTACCTCTATAATGCAACAAAACAACTTACTCAGACTAAGTTTACTTCACTTTCAATCACAACCGGCTTTGCTTTGGGGTATGACCGGCCCCAGACGCAAAGTTATTAATAGGGATCAGGATTAAAACAAGTGCACAACTACAACCCAGCTCCAACATGCATTTTTACGCTTTATCGTTCAACTTTTACGCGCGGTCTTTACGCAAATATAATCACGTCGTGTGCGTCGGAATTCCACAGTTTTCACGGCTATATGCTCCGCTTTCCACCGCGCATCACGTTTCTTCCTCTCTCAACCTGTGCTAACACGCCAGCACCTTACCCTCTTTATTTATCTCTATGGAAAACTAGCAAAAACTGTGCGTAATAAGCGCTTCGTGTGGAAATGCGCGGCGACTTTATCCACGGTGACACTGTGACAGCCAAGGCGTCATCCGTCTAAACAAGCGCACTATTACTTATCCAATACTATTCATAAAATTAGCAGTCCAACTTTAATAATTTTGTGTTTACATGCAGGGGCTATCTATTTACATACTTAATAATTTTATTTATACACGTTGCTTTCAGATCTAATAGCTAGCAACTTCATCGCTATACATTGCACTGATTTTCCATTGCACCTGCAGGTTATTTAGCGCAGAATTGGGCAAGTACGGGACTGTTTGCGCATTCTTGGACTCTCTTGTTTAAATTGGTGCCTTGCTGGACGCATTTGTCGGCTGCTATCTTCATTTGCACCCCAGTGTCACGCTCTTGCAGCTAAACAAACCTCTCACTTCTGGCCTAATGTAATATTACAATGAGCCTCGTGCATATTCACCCTCATTAAATATTCATGAGCGCGAGCGCCAAAACACGCCTACGTCTCCAGGATTGGATTCCTATGCACTTTTGAGCGCAGATTTTTACATCTAGATTTGTTTTTCCAATTTTGCAATGTTTAAGATTTTTTTGTTTTTGTTTTCCATAATGACTAACTAACATGCTACCTTAATTACAGTATCTTTATATATTAATATAAAGATATAAACTGAAATTAATAAGATTTACAAGTTTTTCAAAGCAGTACATTGTTTCGCAAACCCAATATAACTGGATTGACAAAATTATTCATGGCTTTCAACTTCCTGTTTATTGATGACATTTTGAGGACTTTTGCCTAATTAACAGATATAATAGTGTGTTTTGAATTGCTAGATTTCACACTGCAACTCATGGATACAGATATATTTCTTGATAATTTAATTCATATATCAGTGCTTGTCTAACTGCAAATTTGAGCCTGAGCCAAATTTTTTTTATCTTAAATTGTCCAAATTATTTCAATTCAATGCATTTTACCAAACATATACCAAATTTTTACCATTTTGAGAGATGATGGACTTTGAAGGCAAGCTTCTCAGAGCAACATCTTGTGTCAAAAACCCTTTTAAATCTCCACAAGTCATTGTAGGGCCACCTATTGATGGGAGATGTGCGGTTCTTTTGTTGTGGTCGGACATGTTACAAGTTTGGTCTGTGCAGAAGAAAGAATGGTTGCTGCGGAGACGAAAGCGGAGGAAGACCCCAGGAATGCGGTTAACTGGATGCCACCATTTTTGTTAGACCCTTATCAAAAGAGTAAAAAATTTAAAGAGATATCTCAGCATGACAATGGAAACGTATTTGATAGATGAAATATAGATAGATTCCTGGTTGAATTTCTATAGGTTTGATGTGATCTAATAGCATCTTAGGCAGGGGTGGGTAGTACTCACTTACATTTAGTGTATTACTACGTTGAGTAACTTGAGTAAGAAATTAAACAATGAACCAAGACATTATTTAGTCTACACAAGTCAGCATCAACATCCTAAAGCTTTATGTAGTTACTAGGCTTTTGACTGATTTCAATGCCATTTTAAGGGCTAAAAGTGGTCTTAACAACTTATCTCTCTTCTGCAGATGGTCTGACAATTCTGACGTCTTGGTGTAGTTAGGGGTCTCACTCTTGCCCCCTAGTGGAAATAAGGCTCCACTGTAAATATAGATATCCATACGTAGTAGACATTCCTAAAAAGATTATAAGATAAGATTATTAAAACACAAACAATGTAAATAATTCTTTGAAATAAACTCAGTTTTATTAATTTTATATTTTCTCACACAATCAGTGACACAAAAGGTCACTGATTTAAAAATGCTCAGTTGAACTTTAGGTTTTTATAAAACAAACTGTGTGGAATGTGATGAAATTAGAAATAAAAATCTGAAAATACTTGATTAAAATTTAGACCTCAAATGTCAGATCACACTCTGCCTTGCCAGTGGAAAATATAGTATTTTGAATTACTTATGTTTTTACTTTCCCTTCATAAATATATTGGTGTTGTCTAATCTTTAAAGTGCACATGGCAGGCTAGAATATTTGTCACTAAAACATAGTTAACATTATTTTAATTAAGATTTTATGAAACATACTAAGAGATATGCTACCTAGCAACTAGAATGTCAACAATGGCCAAAACATGTCTAAATTATACAAAAGTTATGAAAAATACATAGCAACATGCTTAATTTATGAAGTTATTTTTTTAACTAAGAAAAAGTCAGAAAAATGTGTGTCAATTGTCTCTGCATTTAAGATGAAAATGATGATAGTTGGTTTTAGGACTCACGGCTACTTCCTGTATTGATACTTGGCAGTGGCATCATGCTGGGGCTTTTCTACATGTATCTGTAGGATGGAATCAATTCATCAGTTACCATGGTGACACAACGCACAAATAAGCAAACACAGACTAAAAACTTTTAAGAAAACTAACAAAGCTTCAGACAGAGTAGTGCCTACAATTAGTACCACACTCTCAGGTACTATCCCACCAAACCAAGTGATAATTGGAATAACATATAAATCTGTCAGATGCGCTTTAACCGGTGGTTCCCTTGCCCTGTTTGTTAGTTTAGCATGTTAGCGTGTTAGCATGTGTTGTGAGTGTGTGTGTGCCCGGTGCTAATCCCCAGAGCACTGATACAGATCAGGTTGGCGCAGGTGAAAGAGTTCAGGTGTAATATATACCTCCAGGTCCCGCCTTTGAAGTCGACACGCCGCGGAGCCCACAGACACACACTTTAATTTGATGCATGCTTCTCCTTCACAAAGACAAAGAGAGAGAGAGGAAGGGAGGGGGGAGGGAGAGAGGGGGGGGAGAGAGAGAGAAACAGAGAGAGAAAGAGAGAGAGCGAGACAGGGAAAGAGCGATGGGGAGAGAGAGGAAGGAAGAGCGAGAGGAAGGACAAGATAACTAAGACATAGAGAAAAGGGAGAAAGAGGAAGGAAAAGAGAGAGTGGAGAGAGAGAGAAAGGAAGAAAGGGGGATAAGAGGGAGAGAGAGGAGGTAGACAGAGTGATGAGTGAAGGAATAGAGAGTGTGGAAATGATGAGAGCAGAAAGGAAAGAGACAAACAGTGAGTGAAGAGAGAGTAAGGAAAGACAAGATAATTGGGGCAATAGGGAGACAGGGGAAGAGAAGTGGGGGCAAGAGAGAGAAGAATAAGGGGATGAGAGAGAGGAGAGGAATGGGGAGAGAGGAAAGGGAGGGGGGGCAGGAGGAATGAACGAGGGAGAGGGTGAGAGAAAGAGTGAAGGAGGTAGGAGAGGAATGGGAAAAAGAAAGCAGTGGGAGAGAGGAGGTGGGGGAAAGGGGAAGAAGATATGAGGAAAAGGGGAAAGAGACAGAGTGTGGAGAAAATAGAGAGAAATAGAAAGTGAACGAAAGGGGCAGAGTAAGAGGGAGGGGGATAGAGAGAAAAAGAGGGGTAAATAGAGAGATATAGATTGAGAGGAGTCTGAGAAAGAAGTGGGAGTGGGAGAAAGAAAAGGGAGAGAAAGAGAGGGAGAGAGAAAGGGGGGTGTCCACCTGTGATGAGGCCATGTGACCGCAAAGAGCCAATCAAGTGCGGATAGAAGTCAGCCAAAACATCCTGAGATTTTTAAGATAGTCACATTATACTGAAAAGCAAAACCATAACAGAAAGACATGGGGGAGAAAGATAGTGTATACTAACATTTCAAACCAAAAACCAACAAAGTATGTCTGGATAGCTATTATTTAAGGCTCATTAGCTGTCAGCATAAATATTAGAAAAACTATTGAAAAACAGATAATCTAGACTAAAACTAAAAACTAGAAACTATACATATTTAGCAAGTATCAATATGAATATTGGGTAATCTGTCAATTATTCACCAATGTCTTTTTCACTGGTTGATTAATCAAAGAAAATAAAGTAAATTTAATACACGTGATTGCATACTGGTATTAATTACAAAAAGATTTACAATAATTACAACAAAACCACGTTCAAAATATTACATAGTATTTAGAATCCTTGGAAATTTAAAGTTTTTTACATATTTTTAGATCATACCTGATTTAATGTACAGCAGCTTGAGTCTCTACAGGGCAAAAACAGAAAGTACAATACGCACCTTCACTTGGCAGTTACAATACCAACCGCAGACTGTATAAAAGCAGTGGACTAAGCAATGTCACCCCTATGGTTCAGCTCCACTCAGTTGAAGCTCCTGATGTTAACGGTTACAGGAGCAAATTTGGAGTCAGGCTCCATATTTGGAAATCACAATCATCACTGTTGGTGAAATTAATAGGCAAATAAATTAATAACACTAGTTTTTGTGACCTTATACCTACCCAAATGAGTAGACAGTTTCAGTATTAGTTTTCATATTGATTAGTATCTGATTTTCGATACTTTTAACAACCCTAGTCGCAACAATTACTCTTTAAGTTACGCTTACTCGAGTAGTACTTTTCCCAAATACTTTTTTACTCTTTCTTGAACTACTTTGCTACTCTACGCCCCACCTCTGTTTTTTCATACAAACAAATAAAATTTTATTGCAAAACGTGATTGATCAATACGAGGAATATCACCTTAATTAAACATACATTTTTCAGTTCTGCACCAAACCACAGCAT